AATTTTATATTATGTGAATTTCACCTAGGTGAGATACCAGTTCACTCTCAGTGAATGACCAGGATGCAACTAGGACTTATATACATTGCTGGGGTCAGGGTTAAAAATTTAAGTAACTTCCATGGCGTTAAACATTCAATAAATATATGATTCAGCAATTCTAAGAAAAATAAAAACACAGGTCCACAAAAGGAACTGTATACAAACGTTCATAGAAACATTATTCATAACAGCCAAACCCAGGAAACCACCCAAATATAAATCTACATGTACGGTATATTCACACCATGGGATACTACCCAGCAATAAAAAAGAATGAACTACTGATATCTATAGCAACATGGATGAATCATAAAAGGTTTATTTATGTTATGCAAAATAATGCAGAGCTACAACATAAATTTTATGATTTCACTTATATTAAGTTGAAATACAGGAAAAACTGTAGCAGTCAGATATAAATCAAACTATAGCAATCAGAAAAGTGGTTACCTCTGATGGGATGGGAGACTGGAATGAAGAATGAAATAACCTTCTGAGAAGCAGAAATGTTCCATATTTTGATTGTGGTAGGAATTACACGGATATACATATTTATTAGAACTCAATCTGTACGCTTAAAATGGGTCCATTTTATGGGACTGTAACTGCCAAGGGATATATTCCACCACCCCCAGTGGATTCCTGAAACCTGAGATAGTAACAAACTCAATGTATGCTTTTTCCTATACACACACACCTATGATAGTTTAATTTATAAATTAGTCACATTAAGAAATAGTAACCAAAGACAATTAAAATAATATACTATCATAAGAGTTAGTGAATGTGGTCTCTTGCTGTCTCAAAATATCTTACTGTACTGTACTCACCTTCCTTGTGATAATGTGAGATGATAAAATGCCTGCGTGATCAGGTAAAGTGAGGTGAATGAAGTAGCATTAGGCTACTACTGACCTTCTGACAATAGGTCAGAATCTGCTTCTGGACCATGGCTGATGGAGGGTAACTGACATCTGGGATAAGAAGGGACTATTCTATTAGAAATTTTTAAAATTTACATAATGAGATTTCTATGTAAAACCAATCTCACTGAGCATAGCACATGGTAGGTGCTCAATCAATGCAGAAGGAAAGAAGGAAGTGGGGTAACTAGGTAGATTATTTTATAGTCATGGCCCAATAGTATGTATGTATTCTTTACCACCCTTAAGGAATTTATGATCTAGTTCAGAATGACATATCACCTCTGAACCAGCTCATTATCTTTAACAGTTCCCACAGATGCCATAGCAGCCTCTGAATCATACTGTCTTATGGGAAACCACTTTCAAATTCCGAATCCTCCTGTCTTGCTTATTCTCCACTTTTTACTCTTCACTGAGGTTGTGTTCAAGGTCTTGATACACGGAATTTTCCCTGGTTTCTGAGCCCACCAGCACCTGAGACAGAGACTTCAGTGCCACAGCTATCTTTTCATATGTTTAGCCTGCAAAACTAACAACTTAACCTTCGAAAACCCTTAGGTCCTCCAACTCACCAGGGTATTGAGACTATAAGAAGTGAAAATTAAATTTAAAAAATAGCAAGAGAACATATTTCAGAAGATAATATATCAATAGTTAGCATATGAATCAAACAGGGATATTATGAAAAGCCCTAAATGAGCAGGAGATAAAGCTCTATCTAAGCTAGGCTTGCTCTGAACAGGGAGAGGAACAGGTGGAGAGGCTTAAGCAAAAAAAAGACAATAGGAAAGTGATGAATGTTACAGAAAAATGAACAAATCCATTCATTTTTCTAGGCTCTAGAGCAAAAAATTTAAATTTGGATATATGTGTGAGGAAGTCTGAAAAAGCAGATTAAGGCCTCATTTGATAATCACAAAAAGATGTGGGGTAGAATACGCAGATACTGTCTTCATTTAACTATAAGAGGTGAAATTGTCCAAGGTAATAAAACTTCTTAGGAAAAGAGCCCGTACTGAATGAAATTCATTTCTCCTGATTTACAGCCAAATGTTCATTTACTTAGACCATGATTCTGCTCAATGTTCTCTAACTTTGCTTAATACAACTCTTGATTTTTTTTTTAAGATTTTATTTATTTATTCATGAGAGACAAAGAGAGAGAGAGAGGCAGAGGCAGAAGCAGGCTCCCCAAGGAGCAGGGAGCCTAATGTGGGACTCGATCCCAGGACCCTGGGATCATGACCTGAGCTGAAGGCAGATGCTTAACCGAATGAGCCGCCCAAGTGCCCAGAAACAAACTTCTTACCAAAAATAACCTTGTCCCTTCCCCCATTCAGTTCTTCTTGAATGTATATCCTTCACCTAAAGCATACTTTAAGATATACTTTAACATAAATTTTATTATCTTACCAAGAGTCCTGATTACTGACATGATAGGTAAGGGGGTTTCTATGAGTACAGGTCATAGATACATGACCAAGTCTTTCCTATAGCTACTAAAAGATCTGAATTCCAATAATATTTTTTAAAATTAACCTTGAGTTACAGATTAGAAAATTATTAACAGTGACCAGTAAAACAGACTTTCTGCTTACTCACAGATTGGCATTATCACCTATAATGCAGTCAAGGGTGTGTCTAAAAGCATAGGGTACATCTGTGTTACTGCTTCCTCATTATAGTAAGTATGAGAGGTAACTCAGCTTTCACTGGAACATAAAAGGAGCTTTCATTTTTTATGTTCAATAGAGATATGTTTAAATCTTTCCCATATCCCCTAAACCTTCCAAAGACCCTACCTTCCCTTCCTATCACTATTAATTTGCTACATTGACAAATTTTTTCAAGAGTACACTCAACTTGTCTCCACTTCGAGTCCCTTGTTCTTATCTAGTACTTATACCTTAGTCATCTACTGAAATTCTCACTAAGGAAACCAATGACATCTTTTTTTTTTTCAAGATTTATTAATTTGAAAGAAAGAGAGAGCTAGAGGGAGAGGGAAAGAGAGAGACAGACAGCACACACGAAGGGGGGTGGGTGGGCAGAGGGAGAGGGGAAGCATAGTCCCAACTGAGCAGTGAGCCCAACATGGGGCCCGGTCCAAGGACCCTGAGATCATGACCCAGCCAAAGGAAGACGCCTCCCCACTGAGCCACCCAGGTGCCCTGGAAAACAATGACATCTTAAACACCAGAATCAAAGGCCTATTTTTCAAATCTTGGCCTTTTTGAACTCTTGAAGATGGAGGAGCTGGTGTAGAGGCCACCAGAAGGATACTCACTGAGCTCTCACTCTGTACTCATTAAGCTTTCAAAAATGTTTCATTTCATCCTCACATCTGAGAAGTATTAATTACCCCCTTTCATTGATTAAAATTGAAGACTCAAAACTACCTAAAGCCAGACAGTGAAGCCTGCATGATCCCAATGTTTGTAATTCTGTGACTTTGGATATTAAGTTTTGTTCCCAGTTCTCTTCCTAACTCTCTGGCCTTTTCTCCATCTTTCTCACTATTTCATCATCGTCTACTCATCACTGCTTCTCTTATTTCAGATGCTCTCCTGGGCAATTTCATTTCCTTTCATGACTTTAACTACATTCTATATTCATGTTTCTCAATCTTAAAACTTTTTATAAACAAAAAGTTTTACGCTCTTTCTGTAGTTCACATTTTTTAAAATTTTTATTTTTTTAATTAACATATAACGTATTATTTGTTTCAGGGGTACAGGTATGGGATTCATCAGTCTTACATCTTGAAAATAGCTTGTCTTCCTCAGATAGAACATCTAACGTTGAATATGTTTTGTTCAAACGACACCTCCTCCTCTCAAGATCTGATACCCTCCTACGCATCACCCCGTGGCTGAGGGTCTGTATGTCTCTCAAATCAATCTTTTTCCTCTCTTCACCCCACCCCCATATCGCTCCTAAGTTACAGACAAATATTACCAACTGGATAGTTCCATGTTTCTCTCCCTTGGTCCTTCAACTTAAAGTCATCCACAACTAAACTCTCCTTTCCGCAAACCTGAACTACCTACCTCTTTGGATTCTCCATTTTGGTTAAGGGTTATTACAATCCATCCTTGTCTATGCTTTAATGTACTTATTCGTGAAACAGTGATATTGGCACTAACTTCTCTGATCTCTACTAGTTCAAAAATCAACCATTAGGGGTACCTGGGTGGCTCAGTCAGTAAAGCTTCTGACTCTTGATTTAGACTCAGGTCATGAGCTCAGCCAGGGGTGGGACTCTACGCTGGTCCTGGAGCCTGCTTAACATTCTGTCTCCCTCCCTCTCTAAAAAATAAATATATATATAAACCATTAAACAATGATTGACTATTATGGCCAAAAGCTGATGAATGCAAAATCCCACAAGATTTAATCCTCTTCCTCTTTCACAAGTCTATAAGCAGAAACAAACCCAAAACAATTTTGTGAAGCGTTTTTTTCCCACTTACAAAACAAAATTAACTTTACAAAATATTTTAATGTAATCCTTACTATAATCCCATTATTACCCCCACTTTACAAGTGAAAACACTGGGACTCAAAGGGATTAGGTAATTTAATCAGAGTCGTGCTGCAAAGTGGGAGGTCTAGACCCCAAACCCTAGGACGTGAGATTTCAAATTCCATTCTTTCTATGATTGTTGAAACAAACTTCACAATAAAACGAAAACAGGTTTGTGCACAACGGAGGTCAAAGGAGCAGCACACAGCCAAGTATGAAATGGCCCAAGGCGACCTGAACTCGCTCTAGGCTGGGAGGGGCCGCCTGGCCGGACCCTCGCTCCGACGCCCCCCTCCCAGGCCGCTCCCGCCCTGGAAGTCCCTCTGCGGCCTGTCCCAGGCCGGCCAGGTCGGCGGTGACGGCAGGAAAACCCTCGCCTCGGGGCGTGCTGGGCGGGGGCTCTCGCGGCCAAGCAGGCCGGCCCGGCCGGAGGCTGAGTCCTAGTTGGGCCGCAGCCGCCGCGCCTTCAGCCTCCGGGACAGCCGACCCGTGGGCAAGAAGCGTACCTGGTGAAGGAGGCAGCTGGAGGGCACGCGGTCCCGGCGACCCTAAGAGGCGGGAATGACCCTGTTGGCGGGCTAGCCTCCGGGTCTAACTGCATTCACTACGTTAGGTCAACAGGAGTCACAAGGACTCTTCAGGGGAGCGGAGGGACCGGAAGGCACGGGCGTAGAGCGGCGACCTGAAGCCTGGAAGGTACCAACGTGTGGCAGGGGCAGGGGGCGGAGACGCGGCCCGTGGGGGCGGGGCGCGCGGCGCGAGGAGGCGGGACGTGGGGGCGAGCGCGAGGCGGGGCGCGGCGCGCGGCGTGAGAGAGGGCGGGGCGCGCGTATGGGCGCCGCGGCCGCGTGACGCGTTTTCAAATCTTCAACCGCCGCAGCCCACTCGTTTGTGCTTTACCTCTTCCTCCTCCGCGCCTTGGAGTCGAATCCGGCCCCGGAAACCCGGACGGTAGACGCGGCATCTCTGTTGCGTGGGTGTGGTAATCTGCGGAAGGGGAAGAGGCGACCGGCTGATAAATCGGCCTCGACGAGCTGTTTTCGTGGCCGCACGGCGCGACACTCTCCCGAACCCAGCATGTAGGTGCCGGGCGGCTGCCATGAACTCCGGAGCCATGAGGATCCACAGCAAAGGACATTTACAGGGTATGAAGCCCCTCCTCCGCTGCAGTCCCTTTAATCCTTTCCTCCCCTCGTGGTTCCACCATTGATTCTTTAGTTCTTCCCCCCAGGTCCCTGCTCCTTTTCTTTTCTGGCTTGTGCGCCCCTCTCTGTGGCCTGAAGGAAGGCTCCGTCCAGGGCTTTGCCTCAGAAAGGGAGAGGATCCCAGCGGGGCCCCTCGCGCGGTTCACGCTCCAGCCGCGGCCCAACATTGCCGGAGGTTGTAAAGCCAGAAAACAATGTGCGGACCCGGGACCTGGCCGGGCCTCGGACAGATGCTGAGACTCAGCTCAGGCCCTTTGAGGCTGCAGCTCTATCAATTTGAAAGCAGAGGTGCTCGTGGCTTTTAGGTTCATAATTAAATTGGGTGATTGTGGGTGGGTTTTTGGCCTTATTTTTAAATTTATTTTTCTTCACTCATAAAGTTAAGGGATAGTATTTGTATTTCAAACACATCATTGCTGTTTTCAACATTATAGACAGAAACGAAAGCACATTTCCATTTTCGACTACTTTGTATGGTAAGACATTACAGCTTCCAAGTGTTTTTTCTTTTTTAATATGTCTAGAATATATATGTCGTATATATATAGGAATTTTCAACGTATGAACAGATTGTGTTATGAAAGTTAATTTTTAAAGCAGTTGTTTCAATCTCAGATCTGTTTTCAAAGGAAATAATGAAGTGAATGGTGATTTGGCTCTTAAATGGACCATTTATTTCTTAATACATAGACTAGGAAACTAAACCTTGGAAACTTTTGAGGACTAGGTCATCATGTGTAACAGGTTTCTTGTATAGGTAAGTCTTTAACATTTTAAGCCCGTTTTGAGTGTTCAGCAGAATGGCAGATGCTCCATAAATATTTGAGTAAATACCCCATGGAGTTTACATCGTAAGGAGGAAAATCAAAAAGGTTTTAGTTTCCACTGTAATACATAAAAACATGAACAAATACATAAATATTTACTGCAAATTCAACTATTGGCTGTGAACAATAATTATTTTACAATATAGTATCTGTTAAAACAAGTATGGTATTTTGGTTTTATCCGAAGTGGTACTACAAAGAAATACATTAAAATGCTATTGAGTTTTTAATTGGTGGGATTATAAAGATTTTTTTCCCCTCTGTGATATGATGCCTGCATAAAAAATATTTTTAAAACAGAAATTTTTTGTCTGCATAAAACTATCTAATTCTACATTTTTTTTAAACAACAGGTGGAATCCAAGTCAAAAATGAAAAAAACAGATCTTTAAAATCTATGAAAACTGATAACAAACCAGAAAAATCCAAATATAAGCCGCTCTGGGGAAAAATATTTTACATTGACTTACCTTCTGTCACCATATCTGAAAAACTGCAAAAAGACATTCAGGATCTGGGAGGGGTAAGTCAAAACTATATACACTTTGACAAAAAAGGAAAAATTTGTAACTAGTACTTTCTAACATGTAATCATTTTAGATTATCATATTGGGAAACATAACCATATAAGCACCAAGTTTAAAACTTTTATCAGCTGTTTAACATTAATGAAAAACTATTTGTTTTAACCTTTTGTAGTCTAATAGGACTTTCAGGTTTCTGTGATTTTTAGTCAAGTGTAAAGTTCACAAAGTGTGAGAAATGTGACTCCCTCCTTTGTCCTGGTGGAACCTCTGATTGCCTTCTCATTGTAATGTTTGTATGTCCTCCAGATAGCAGGAACTCCTTGATAGTGGTTATTGGGGAACATAAATTTGTCTAGACTAGCCTAACAGTAAGAATGTTATTTGCAGAACAAGGAGAACCTTTTTGAACCACAAAGAGTTAAATTACTCTGAGTGGTAACAGTCTCAACAGAATGAATGTCGTTGGGGAACAGAATTTGGGTTAAGAATAGTGAAAGCTCTTCTAACTTATACATTGAGTAAATGATTAAGAAATTAGAAAATTTGAGTAAAATTCTAAGATTTTCTTACGAGTAAGATTAACATTGGGTAGGTTTAAGCAAGTGAGGTTAAGAATTTATTAATTTCTTTACTAATTCTTCCTATTTAAAAAGATTTTTGCTACACTTTGAATTTGTTGAATAATCTTTGAATAATCTGCCATTCCTGGAATAGAATTTTGCAGAAGAACATGTAACAAATTTCTTAGAGTTGTTTATTGGTGTGATCTTCATTTATTTATTTGAAAGAGAGCGCAACACAGAGAGCATGGGCACGGGGGTTGGGGGGGGCAGAGGGGAGGGAAAAGCAGATGCAGGGCTGGAACTCAGGACCCTGGGATCATGACCTGAGCCAAAGGCAGACGCTTAACCGGTTGAGCCACCCAGGCGCCCCTTGTTACTCATTTTCTTAAAACATTGTCACATTGTCATAGCAGTATATCCTATCATATCATGATGACCATTCCTAAAAATCATGTTTTATAGGCCAGCCACCTTTGAATAAAGACTCCTTTTTTTTTATTCATTTAGAAAGTAAGTGCTTACGGGTCCAGAGAAGTAAAATGACTGGCCCAGTGTAGGATTAGCCTCTTAATTCCCAGACTAATACACTATTACACTGTTTTGTTCCTCTAGCGATTAATGGCTACAAAACAGTTTCACAGCTTTCTCAAATATGATGAATAACCCATCAACCTTTTATGATCTAAATCAGTGATTTCAGGGGTGCCTGGTTGGCTCAGTTGGTTAAGCATATGCCTTCAGCTCAGGTCATGATCCCAGGGTCCTGGGATCAAACCCCGAATCGAATCGGGTTCCCTGCTCAGATGGGGGCCTGGTTCTCCCTCTGACTGCTGCTCCCCCTGCTTGTGCTTGTGCGCTCTCTCTCTCTCTGTCAAATAAATAAAAATCTTTAAAAAAAGTAAATCAGTGATTTTAGATTTGTATTTTTAGCAGTAGAACTCTTCAAGCAAAATCATTTAGAAGTCTAACGTATAAAGCCAGTAAAAAGGAAACTGTTAAGGTAAAATAGCAGTTCTAGTTAGTACAGGGATGCATGCCCTGCCCCCCTTTTCTCTCATTCCCACAGCAGTTTCTGAGGCACTACAAGAAACAAGTTTTGAATTAACTTATGCATTTCATAATAGTTGGGAGACCTTTTGGTTTTATACACTTCAAATTTTTATCATAAAATGGTTTGAAGTAGACCAATGAAGTGAAGAGCATATTAAGAACATAAGTTTTCACATTTTTTCTTTGAGCTGTGGATTTTCAACTGAATTTGACTTGTTAACTGTACTTCTTAATTTCTCTTTTTAAAATTTTTTTAATAAAATTATGATCCCTCCCCACACTATTTTTCCAATAATTTAGTGATGTCCTGATTTCTGTTCTTATGACATTCCCATCTCTATCCCTAAAATAAAGACTTCTTTCTGATGATCTGTTACATAAATTATAAAGGAACCTTGATCTCTAGACACTTAAGAGTTTTAGGGTTCAACTTTAAGAAATACTTAGTTGAATAGATATTCCTTGAAAGGATGATTCTTGTTACTTAATTTTTAGGATTACTTAGGCCCTTTACCATTTTGTAACTTATATTCAGATTATAACCAGTGTTGTCTTTTTCTGTAATTGTCTACTTTGTGCATTTGTTTTCTCTACTCTTAATGAAAACATACCCCCATTTTCCTGGAGAGTACGCTTCTGACAAATTCAACCACTGAAAACACAGCAGTGAAGTCTGACATAGGGAAATATCTTTTAATAGTGGCAAGGAATGTAGCTGTTACAAAACCATCTAAAAAGGACATGGAACGAACCATATTTAGGTCCATATTTAAAATTCTGGGCTAAAATAAGGCAGTTGGAGAAGAATAGAGATGTAAGGGTAAATGCCTTGCCATAAATGAACTTGAAGACAGAGTTACTTGTTCATTGTAACCTTGAGTGACTCAGAAATGTTTCAAGTTTACTCTTTAAAAGACCTAAATTCAACAATAGCTAATAAATTGAAGACCATGGTGAAACTAAGTTAGCACTTCCGGGGTGTGGTATTGTTTTGCTAGATTTCAAAAATGAATCTTATGTCCATCCTGCGTCTGATCTAGGTAGAGATTGCATGGATACAATTAATTGTAACACAACATGTAATATCAATAAGAGGGAGAAATTACTTCCAATTAAGAAATCTTGGAAGCTGTTGTGCAGACAGAATTTGAAGTCAGCTTTGAAGGATGATTATGATTTGCGCATGTGTAAATTCATTCAAAAATTACTCCACTGGCATCTTTAATATGCTAGCACTGTTTTAGCTACGGGGGATGCAAAAATACATAAGATGTAGTCTACTGCTCTCAATCTATGGGAACATCAGACACTTAAATCATTTACTGTATAGGTCAGTGCTTTAACAGAAGATATTGCCATTAAAATACATTGAAGCGGGGCGCCTGGGTGGCTCAGTCGGTTAAGCATCTGACTCTTGATCCCAGCTCAGGTCTTGATCTCACGTTTGTGAGTTCAAGCCCCACGTTGGGCTCCACACTGGGCATGGAGCCTACTTAAAAAAGAATATAGAGAAGAAAATGATTAACTTTGCCTTTAGGAATCCTAGCAGAGATGGAACTTAACCTAAGTC